GAGAATGCCCATAGTCCTTTTAGGAAGAAGTATTTATTTCTGCCAGGAATGCTGTGTCTGCTTGTGAGCCAGGACTTCGACAGCAACACCTTATTCACAGGAAAGATGATTTTCCAGCTCTGGGTTCTATCTTCTAGCATAACATTGTTTTGTTTTCTTTCTGTTCTGCCTTTTTATGGGTAGGGTGGAGAAAGTAACAAGATCATGCCATTAATTCTTTCTCTTTTTTTTTTACAACATTGGTTTTTAAATTGAAATCAGTCAGTGGCCTGGAATCAGAGTCCAGGAAACCAGGGTGGGTGAGAGAATTCCACACAGACCACAGGAAGCTTGGTAAGTCACTCCTGCCTCACCGTGACCAGCATTCAGGGTTGTGGAATTCAGAACTTTGTTTCTATAATATCTCATACACTAGTTTCCTTTTCTGAGATCCAGTTTGATCATGCCTATTCTTTATTTTATTTTATTTTATTTTTTTGAGTGGTTTTTGCTATAGGGTATGTGTGCTCGCCAGAAAGGCAGAGAGAGACAGAGAGACAGAAAGCGAGAAATCATCCCCCATGGGTGATGGCCACGCTGCAATCCCTTCTCCTCTAGGGTCTTTGGGCATGCACGCACACGTGCCCGGCGTGAGTTTAAGCCACTGGGTCTGGGACGCAAACTGCGGTCGACTACATGGGAGTTTAGCGACATAGCCATTATGCTAACTACTGGTCCCGTCCTGTTCTTTTTTAAAATAATTTTTAATTAATTTTAATTATTATTTATACATTTAGTTGCTATCCATCATTTAGATTGTAAAGAGACTTTACCCAGCATGACACGCACCTCAGTCCAGCCCAGTTGAGAACATACTCACGTCCTCATCAACAAATAATAAACCATATTCGCATCCCACAAATACCTTACCTCTCCATTTCCCCCCCAAATTTCCTTTCCTTCGCTCTTCCCTCCTGCACTGTTTCCACTTTGTCTCTAGTGTCCATAACAATTTTTAATGCTTGCGTGCCCTCCAGTCTTTCAGTCTCTGCCACAGAGTGCTGACAGTCAGTATATGTTAAGGGGAGACATATAATGTCTTCATATACATATACACATATGTATGTATGTGTGTGTGTGTGTGTGTGTGTGTGTGTGTGTATGTTGCCAAAGGGCATATGAGCCTGCGGGAGGTGGGGAGGTAGGAGAAAGCAACGTTCAAAGGGGCATGGCCATACTGCAATCCCTTCTCCTCCATTTCTTCCCCATTTAGATTTTGTGCCCAGTGCCCAGTGTGGTTTTCAAGTTGCCAGGGCTGGGATTTGAACTGTGGTCTGCCATGTGGGATCCAGCTTCCTTAACCATTAGACTATAGGGCCAGCTATGGAATTAAAGTACAAGTTTATTTGGGTGCAAAAAATTTTCAAATCCATGCATATCTTTTTCATAATTTGCATCTTTCTTTTTCTTGCTGGAGAGTGTGTCACTTTCTAGAGAGAAAGCATCCCTTAATGGGGCATGGTCACAATACAATCCCTTCTCTTCCATTCCTCCCTTCTGATCAGGATTTGGGGGCTACATGCACATGCACGTGTTTCTCAAGCCTCTGGGACGAGGATTCAAACCCCAGCTGACCACAAGCAATCTGGCTTTGTGCACATAGTGTTTAACCCAGTCAGTCCCATAATATGGATCTTCTGTGAGATTTCTGAAGACCTCTCATACTTCATTAAGCTTTCCTTTCCTAAAAACCCCACATTCGCATTCTGCATCCTAGAACTGTATTCGTGGCCTCCTGGATTGGAGTCTTGGGAGGCCTTGAAGACTCTCTCTTGGTTTCTTTCTCTTGGTTTTCTTTTGAGTGTGGTTTATTCATTTAACTTTTATAGGGCAACTTTATTTCTCTCTTTTTGTTGGGAAGGGCAGCTCATTGTTCCCTATGTTCTGCCAACAAGCTGGTTTTCTTTAGGGGAAACATCTGTACAGAATGTCCTGGTTAAGGGCACACAGGGACAAATGGTACTCTCCTGTCTACCAAAAATCAGAGACTCATTTCTGTTTCTCTTGCTCCCTGGAGAAGAAAGGAACAAACAAATGGATGACATTTTCTTATTTGAGAAAAATTTTTTTTTCTTTAGTTCTTTTTCACTTATGCTTAAATTATAAAATATTAATAAATAATAATTAAATAATAAATGATAAAACATTCAGTCTTTTATTTGCTGCAGTCTCTTCTCCTCCATTCTCCTTTCAGGATTTTGGGCATACATGCACACACACCTGGCGTGAGTTTCAAGCCACTGGGTCTAGGACTTGAACCGCAGTCAGCCACGCAGGAGTCCTGCAATGAAACCATTATGCCTTCTGCTGGTCCCAACCAGACACTCTGGCGTGAGTTTTGTTCAGTAGTAGCCCATTTCCTGCGTTTTGAAAATTTCTTCCTCATTTCCTCTGCATCCCTTTACTGTCTTTTACTGTCCTCTACTGCAGTCTTTCTCTTAACCAGTCTTAGGAGAGAAGTAGCTATGTTTCAGATAAGTATACATGTACATTGAATAGTTTCCTGTCCAAATGGAGCGGAATTGACTTACGTGTACATGTGGTCTTTGCTTTCTTTGTTCCTGAGGGCCAGGAGCCCTCTGCGAACATTAAGAAAGGCTGGGAATGAGGCTGCTGTGGCGTTCTGCTAGGCTGCCTGCCTCCTGAGGGATGGCCACCCTTCCATGGCGGTGGAGCCCTTTCTCAGTCCCTGCTGGAATGCTACTTCTTCCAAGAGGCCTTTCTTCCTTCTTCACTCCTACTCTCTAACCAGGTGTGCTCTTTCATTCCCACAAAGTCCAGTCCTGTTTAGTACTGGTTTTGTGACACTGAAAGTAATCTGGCTTGTCTGTGTGCGCCCATTTTATTTTCCTTGAAGGGGGTAAACTTACTCTGAATCCTTTACAGGACAGTGCCAATCTCCTAAATGAGAGTTGCTGAGTACTTACTATCAGATTCTTTGAGTAACTATGGTCTTCGCTTCACTTACATGACAGTTACAATTACTCAAATGCAATGTAGATTTAACAGTCATAAAGATATAAACTACTAATCAAAATATCTTTGCTTAGTACCAATATTTGTTCAAAGACTTTTATTTTTTTTAAAAAGTTTATTTATCTCTTCCTTGAGAGAGAGAAACACAGAGACAGGCACACCCAACAGGGTCTTCCCACTGCCATCTATCCTTAGTCTGTGACTGAGTTGCTAACAAACACCTGAGACCGTCATCTATAAAGAACAGAGTTTATTAGAAGAGTCAAGATCGTGGTGGCTGCATAGTCCAAAGGCCTGAGGCTGGCACCAGGGGGCTACAGCATGACTGGCAGAAGTGGAGAGGTGGTAGGCGCAAGCAGAGAGAGCGGGATCTGTGTTCTGTGTCATGGAGGCCACATTTTAGCCTCCCAGTCACTAATCACCTCACAGAGACCCCATCCTTCAACACAGTGATTGGATAAATTGTAACCAGTTACAATGGCTCAACACAAGAGTTTCTGGAGGACGTATTAAAACTATGGCATTGGGAACCAGCAGTTAGCGTAATGGCTATGTCGCTGGACTCCCACGTAGTCGACAGCGGTTCGCATCCCGGAGGCTTAAAACTCACGCCGGGCGCGTGTGTGTGCGTGCCCAAGATCCCGAGAGGAGAATGGAGGAGAAGGGATTGCGGCGTGACCATCCCCCCTGGGGGGTGATTTCTGTATCTCTGTCTATCTCTGTCTGTCTGGCGAGCGCATGCGTCCTATAGCAAAAAACCTCTCCAAAGCAAAACAAAACAAAACAAAAAACTATGGCATGCCCCTAGTCTCAGCTGGCCTGAATCATGGGCAAATGTGTATTTCACGTGCTCAGGGAACTTCTAGGACTCCAGCTGTATTATCATTGTGCCATCACCTGCCTGCCTGTTTGTAGACCAAAAAAATTTTTTAAAGTCTTTTGTTTGGGGACCAGCAGTTAGTGTAATGTCTGTGTCACTAAACTCCCATGTAGTCGACCACGGTTTGCATCTCGGGCCCAGTGGCTTAAAACTCACGCCGGGCGCGTGTCTGTGCGTGCCCAAGATCCCGAGAGGAGAATGGAGGAGTAGGGATTGCGGCGTGGCCATCCCCCCTGGGGGGTGATTTCTTGCTTTCTGTCTCTCTGTCTCTCTCTGTCTGGTGAGCGCACGCGCCCTATAGCAAAACCCTCTCAAAAAAAAAAAAGTCTTTTGTTTGTTGCTTTTTGCCTTTAGATGCATGAGTACAAACTCCATGAAATCTGTCTGTTACACTGATAACTCAGAATCAGGACTCCTTTCCTTGAAACCACAGGACACACTTGGCTTCCCCTTGCCAACCCCCTTCCTTTGCAGCTTTCTCTTTTGCAGATGCGCAGAGTGCTGGATCTGTGTTGCACCCTCCTCATGTCCGTCAGGAGGGGGGTTCACATCTCTAAGTACTGTGCAGCCCGGCTGGTATTCCTGAGACCAGAGAAATGCCCTGTGCTCAGAGCAAAGTGGCAGGCTCCTCACTGCTGCAAGTGAGGGGAGAGCAGAGGTGATAAGACCCACAAAAGCCACTGTACAGGATCGTTATGGAAACGTGGGGAAACAATAACATGGTCATTTTACAATATTGTGAATTACGTGCAGTTATCTAACATTTTTGTTCTCATTTGTGAATATCAAATTTCGATAGCATAGTTCGACATAGGAAACAAAAGTTTTCCAAAATAAGGACCAAGAAGATTGAGTCAATATAGCTTCTACAGTAATTTTGAAGGAAAGAATGACTTATTAAAATCTCAGTACTTTTCCTTTTTTAATTTTATTTTTTTGTCCATGGTTGGAAGTAAGGATGACCTTAAAACTTTGTGGTTTCAAAGGACGCTTAAATGATGAATTAATCTGATGTAAGAAAAAATGAGTCTCCTCTAACAGTCTAATCACAGACGTTTCCCCAGCCCTAGGGGAGGGAGTCTTTCATAATGGTCTGCGTAAACTGATGCGCAGGCGGCATGAGTTCGAAGAAGCGCCGCTCCAACAAGTTAAAACCGAGGGAAGTGCAACCCCAAAGGGCAGCTCCGAAACAAAAAATAAATTGCTTAAATCAACCCAACCAACCCAAACGATCGCTATGGCTCTGCTGGCGCGTATCCTGCACGCCCGCCTGAGGCGGGTGCCGGAGCGGGGCGGGCTTCTGGGCGGCGGGGCCCGGCTGAGGACCCGACCCGCGGGCGCCCG